AAAAAAAAAAAAAAAAAAAGTTGGTTGATGTATTAATACTTGTCCACTGATTTTTTAACACCATACTTATATGTATGTCATGTTTATTTATTACAGAATTGGTTGATACATGTAATAACTCATGCCTCCTGTGGGAGTAGGTAAACTATAAAGGATGGTGTACACAATTGGCCATTACATTTTCCTCATTATATTTCGTGTTTTTTGGTTTTCCCCATCAAATTTTCTTTAGGTAAAAAGAAAACAAGTAGGATAAATTAAAGGAAAATTGACTTATATATTAAATTTCGTTATATTTTAATGGTTGAATATTGGATTAAATTAAATGTAGATTTGTTTCCTTATATATGGAAGAAACAAGCATAGAAATGATTTGGACTCGACTAAGGGATCGCGGCATTAACACGGACCAACATACGTTGAATATTAAGAGAAGTCGGGTTTCAAGATGGCTTCGAGACTTCCATATTAAAGACGTGTTTTGAGATCATGAAAATTTTGCAATGAAGGAAACATATCAACTATGAAAATTCTGAATAATCACGACCAAATAAGGAAACATATATATTCAGAAGGCTTCATCTTCATCACCATATTAAGAGAGAGAGAGAGAGAGAGAGAGAGAGAGAGAGAGGAGTATAATGAGAACTGAGAGATCATACTTTCCGCAAATTTAGTGGAGCTTTCAGTTCGTATTCTTACAATCTAAAAGGTAGAGACTATTTACTAATTGTACGACTATTTACTAGTGAAAAAGTTATAGAGAAAGCGAGATGCTTTCAACCCAAACTAGCCCAGTGGGTCAACCGTACCTGGTTGACCTGAAGCCGGAATCGGTACAAATGGGTGCTTCGGAATGGGTGACTTCAAACCTGGTAGTCAAATTGGCTTTGACCCAGTTGACCCAAACATCGACCTGTCCGAGACAACGTAGTTTGACCCAATCCCTAATTATTTTAAAAAAAAATATTTTTTATTTTGAAAATAAATTAAATAGAAATATTTATCCGGCAAATATTTATAATATAATTTAGTATTAGTAACACTTTGATATACAAAGTTTCATTTATTTTTATGTATATTTATATAAGAAAAATACTATATATATAATTTTAAAATTTAAAATTAATTTTTCGATTCAGCAACTGACGCGACGATTGAACCGATGACCCATAAGTTTGGCATGGTCAATTCCTAGGCCGAGATTAAAAACTACGTACCACATGAGTCTCTAATGTTACGCGAGTGTAATTAAATCCAAATTTATTTCCTTCAAATAAATTCAGTTTAGTTTGATTGTTATTTTTTCTTCACAATCGCTTGAACAATAATTAGTAAAAAATACGGAATAATAAAAACACGAGGACAACTCATGGTGAGTTTTTTTTTTTTTTTTTTTTTTTTTTTTGGTGATAATATCTCATATCACATAGTCAAGAGTTGTTAATGTTGAAGACTTTAGTTTATTATATATTGTAACCCAAAAATATCATTTGCATATATATGTGAAAGCGTTGATCATTGCAAAAGTGGATATTACAACTCACACACGCACGCAGTAGTTAGCATCACCCATGACTAAAGAAAAAATGTCAAATTAATTAATGGAGAAATGCTACGATACTATTACGGAACCATTCCATCTGGATTTCTAATCGTTAGATCATCTATCCCTGACAGTTACATGATGATCTAACGGTTACAAATCCCAACGGAATAGTTCTGTAACAGGACCGTAGAATCTCCCTAATTAATGTTGGATGTGGCATTTTATTTTTTCCGGAAGTAAAATTTTTAGTTAGTTCACTGGAAAATAAAATAGAGCATTTAATCACACATAAATACTCATTTTCTATTTTTTCACATTGATATAAAGGTTCACACACATCATTTTGGATGAGATTTTTCGGATCAGTCATAATTATAACCAAAACGCAACCATGCACTAGGCTATTTGGCCGGATATAATGTACGCTTTAGCGCTTGGATGAGATGGTTTGAGTCTCTTTCAGCTTAACTAGTTGCCTCGTGTTCGAACTCTGGGAATGCAGCAGTGTTAAAAACTTTTGAGGGAGAACTTTGCCCCCCTTGTGGTCCTACCCGGCTCGATTCCGGATTAGTCGGTTCCCTTGTGGATCCGGAAACCAGAAGGTCCCTGTACCAAAAAAAAAAGAAAATGTCATAATCTGAAAAATAATATAAACGAAAATATTATATCCGGCCAAATAGCCAATAGTGCATGGTTGTGTTTTGCTAAAATTAACTGATAAGCTAGTTGAAATAAAAATTTCAACGAGTTTATTTGAAAAGCTATCCAAAGAAGCTTGTCAAATAAGTTCAATTTTTTTTTTAAAAAAAAACTCGTCCTATCAAACGGAGCTTATTTGAATACAGAGAGTTTATAAGCTAACTAATAAACTATAAGTTAGCTTATTTATCTACCAAACATAGTAAAAATATATACTGTAGCCATTTGATTTTTATTTGTTCTCAAAATTTTACCAAGAGAATGAATGAACATCTATGTAGCTCGTGCCCATAAAATATTTTTAACCGGTGATTCTAATAACTAAACCATCTTGTTGACATACATATTAATAAAAATTATTTAAATTCCATACCACGATGACACAAAACAAGGCTAAAAATCTGGAAATTTCACCACTTGGAGAAAAAAATAAAAATAAAAAAAATAAAGAAAAAAGATATGGAGCCTTGTGATACATGAAAGTGCCTTTTTTTTCCTAAAAAATGGGGCTTCTGTTAAAGTCAAGAAAAAACTTTATATATGAACGTGCGAGAAAAAAAAAATATAGAAATCTTGAAGATGTTAACATATTAATGAATTGACTTGTACAAGAAAATATAAAGTAATAATAATAATAAATTGTAAAAAAAAATTATAATAATAAATCCTGGCAAGGTCAACGGGTTGTAATCACGAACGATTAAACCAAGGCAAGTTGTAAAATGGGCACTATTTTTGGAGCATGTAATTTTTTTTTTTTTTTTTTTTTTTACCTTAATGTAGCTTTCATGTTTGTCTTGTTTTACTTTGTCGCAAATTTTGATGATGACGTTTTATCTGCAGTAAATGGGACATGGTTTTGGTTACTTTTTTTCCCTCCTCGTGACTACTGATCATTTTTACTTATATATGTCTTGTGGTGTTTGGATTGATTGGTTTTATAATCACCAAGTCATTGTATCATAATGTGTGATTATGATAATATGACATAAATCCAAGAGTACATTTTGTACATATTATTTTTAAAAGATTGAATATAAACGTGTGATTATAAGGTGATCGTGACATTAACATAGACAAGTATATATCTCATTAATGTACGCGACAACTTTTTCGCGATTCAATCGATTGTAGATGTAAAAACGTTGCGAGGAAATCCTTATGTAATAATTTCAATGCGCAAGTCTGTTTACACATTGTACACAAAAAAAACCTTATGCGACAGTAAAGGACGTTTACTGTCGACAAATACGCCCCCACACGAGCTATATTTCTTTGTCCAAAATCATCCAAATTGCAATATGTATCCTCTTATTTTCAGCGTTTACTGTTGAAATTGTATTCTTATATTTTTGGTTATCTGCATTTGGATCTTCAAAGAATCAAATTCACCTGAAAACTGGGCTTTTGTGGGATGGAAAATAGAAACACTAAAGGACAAAAGCATGACATCCAAACAGGTCCTACGTACGTACACCTTTCATACTTTCACTAACTTCAACTAAATTACAAAAAGTCAAGAACGTCAACTCTTTCGAGGTGTCCTTGTTTTCCTCTTCTTTAATTTTTTTAATTTTTCCTTCCTTTTTATAGTAATTAACAGCTAATATCTAAAAAAGTTACTGTTAATTGAGTATAGTTTAATGAGGAAAGAATTAATTTTCGTGCACCACACCATTGACTTTCGGAGTTTCAATGGCAACCAATTTTTGTGACAATAATATAATATTAAAATTCATGAATATTGTAACAAAATTGGAAATGATATGTGTGTTTACACAAAGAAATGCTATAGTTCCGTCGGGATTCGTAACCGTTAGATCTTCATATAACCGTCGTGAATAATTAATCTAACGTTTACAAACTCTGATGAAATGGTTTTGTAACGGGACCGTAGAATCTCCAGTTTATATAAATGATAAATTTGTATTATCACAAAAAGTTATGTCATAAAGCACAATCCTTAGAGCATGCTAAGGTGTGCAATAATAGAGTCCCCAAAGTTTTTTTTGGTGGTGAACATTTGAAATGATGTGCTTCCGAAGTGGACGACTAAAACCCGAGATATGTATAGGATATGTTTCATATATATAAGTTCTCTTGTGGATATTAATATTAGTAATACTATGATTTTTTTAAATATTCCGAGGCAGCATATATATATGTTGTTCATAAATAATGTGATAATATTATTGTTGTATAGTGTGACAAAGTAAAAGAATAAAAATTGCTAGACAATTATCAGATTCTAACAATAAATTTCAACGACTATATATTTCAATTGTAATTATAATGAATATTTTAATGTCATACTTTCTGTTGGAGACAATGATTAATTAATATTTCAATACTATACTTCCTGTTGGAGAATGCCACCAGAAGTGCTATTATTAACGAGAATTTTTTTGATGGAATTAGTTTTTCATCGAAATTTATGTTAGATTCTAACTATTTTCGACGGGGATTTTTCTAACTGTTGGAATTAATGAGAGACAGAAAATCCAACAAAAATTTTTACGGTAATAAGCCGATCGATGATAAAATGATTTTTTCGAATTTCTCAAATTTCAACTGAAATTCCAACATACATTTGATTACAATAAGAACATGTCAAACACATAATTTGGATGAAAGTACCAAATCAAACAGTGAAAGAGAATTAAAAACCAAATTAATGGCAATAAATTGATTGTGGTGGTTATACCATCAATTTATATGACCGTTGATTTTAAAATCGTGTCGTGCATGAACTTCATTATGGACCATCTCACGTTGCTTTTAGGACATGGCTATTCCTAATCTTAGGAAATTATTGGGTAACATGGATTATGAACCCTATAGTTTTTTACTTTTTAGGCTTCGTTAAATTGATTAAACATATATATCATTTTTGTTTATTAATTGTAAGAAACTTGGAGAAAAACGGGTGCGGTCCCACTAACATGAAGCGCACCATGAAAGGGAAAAGTCCATATGAAGCCCAACTGAGGTTCCATCCCAAAACCAATTGGTGAAAGGAGAAGTAACCCATTAGACTTATAATTTAGGTCTATTTTCCATATATGAACGATGTGGGACAACTCACAAGTAATATTTTAACATTAATGAGCCCATATAGATTATCTATCATAAAAGGGGGAAACAAAAATTATGCAAAAATTAGTAGATGTAAATTGTTAGAAGGACTGTAATAATTCAATTAAAGAAAGGTAAAAAAATTTACTAGTGTACAATGAATATTATCATACAATAAATGTACATATATGGTCATAAATGGGTATTTATGAACTGTATTAAGCGAAGTGTGTCATGGACAAGATTATTTTAGTTTTCAGTAATCTACAGTTTTGGAAGGTGAGCTCCATTTATTTTATTTATTTATTTATGCTTTCTCATTTACTATGAAGCCCCATGAATGATGAATGCTTTCATTTTTTATCAGCACATAAAAAAATTTATTTTTCAACAAGTGGAAAAATGTTGGGAACTAAATGAATAAAAAATGTGTTGGTAGAATTTATGGAGGAAAAAAGGATATTTTTTTTTTTTTTTATATTATGTAACAATA